TGCAACGCCACAGCCTACCTGAGTATTATTGCTGACCATGTCCATCCCTTTATGACCACAAAACCGTTACTAGCGTGGTGTACCTAATAAAGTGGCCGGTGAGTGTATATCGGATATCAATATCGGCTGAAATTTTCATATCGGTGCTTCCCTACTGCTCAACATGATATTTATCTAAACTCTGGCATGAAAAGCAAGAGGCAATATCAAGGACTGCTAGGCCTTCAATTGTTGCAGAAATCAATCCAATCAAATCTAACTTTATACATGKTTTTTTAAATGCAATAATAAGTCCAGAAAAATGCCTCTGATCTTACTTGTTTGGTTTCAGATGAGAGTTTCTTGGAGGAGATTGGAACCACTTTAGGTATAAATGTTGCTGCTCCTTTCCACGGTTTGTTCACTGCAGTTTGTGGAGATGAATGTCCATCAGGAAATTCTGCCTCCCAGCTGTCAGGAGGCTCTCTCCTCCTCATTGCCTGGAAATCCTCTTTCCAGTTCTGAGTAGAGGCAGCCTGTCCATCACTCAAGTACAGTCTGTTGAAAAACTACAAAACCAAACAACAGATCAATGGATCTTTGGGACACATTTAGTTACACACAAAAACAAATTGGCTAGGAAACAAAAAGTCTTACCTCATTGTTTTCGTTTGATTTTGATTTTGTATCTGAGGGAGGAACAAAGACAAAAGAGTGAAGTTTTCAAAGAACGACGTATTGGGATTAAAGAATCAGATTACACTCATGTTACTTAAATGTTTTGTGGATGAAAATGCTTTACTGACAAAGATCAAAACAGAATGTGCAGAATGGTCAGTGGCAAAAAAAAAGCAATAGTAGCTCAAATCACCACTTTTTACAAAGAAAGCTCTGCAGAATACCATCGCTGAACAAACATGTCCAGCCATGGAGCAAATGAGCAACAGCGGCAGAAAAAAAAAAAAAAAAAAAAAAATCACACCAGGGCTACTCCGTTCAGCTAAGAACACAGGTTTACTCAAACTGGACAATAGAAGATTGGAAAAACAGCTGCATCGAGTCACTGTACTCCAATTGTCTGAGCAGCCACCAGATCTCAGACCAACTGGAGAGTCTTCAACCTGAACATCTCTGCAGAGTGAGAAAGTTAACCTAAGGTGCTGCATTCCATCTTTGCTTTATCATAATAATCACAGCTTCTACTGTATGTAGATCGACAGTTACACAACCATCCTCAGTTTAAGTCATTGTCTGGGACAAACTATCCTTTGCCCAAGTTTAGTCAGGGCCAGCTACGGTGAGTTTCTAACTAGCTCAATTCTTCACTCTGGTCAACACGAGGTTAACTTGTAGTCTTTAGCACCAGACGTGCTGCATAAAGATTTGTCAAAGTATTATTTTTTTAATAAACACAAATGACAGCTCAAGGTCAACTGGCATGGTCCCAACTCGTCTTCCAACTCCCACCACCTGCAGAAACCCCAGTGTCAGCAGCTGATGGTGCAGGCAGAGAGGACCAGCTCCAGCTGCACAGCACCCTTAAAACCTAAAGCAGCTGATGGGACAGTCTTCAAATCCATGCTTTTTGCACTGCACCATTTGTAGCAACTTCTGTTTTATTAGTAATACTGATAATATAAACCCAAGGCCTTTTCTGTGCATGCAGTTTCCCAGACAGTGAACCCAACAACTATAGAAAAGAGCTTACACCAGCCACGAAGTTGATGTGGGGCTGCACAGACTTATATCAACAATGAAATTATTATAGATCTAAAGTTTTGTGAGAAAAATACATTTGCCATGTTTTTGGTTGTAGAGAACTCTGATTCCCAACAGCTTAAATAAAAAATGTAAAACACACACTACCAAAATGCAACTGTACTGACACAGCACCTTTCTATCCAACCAGGATACTAAGTGTTTTACTCTACAGTCTGTGCCCTCATTTATCCATTCCATGGAGGAAAATATAACAGCTGGAGTGCTGAGAAACCATGTGACCTTGTAGAAGCTAAGGGCTAAAGCAAAATGGTCAAGAGTCTGGGTTTATTACTGTACATGTTGGCAACTTAGCAGAAAAAAAGGACTGATGTACAAATCATAAAAACCATTAATATTAACAAATTATTAATATTTTACAGTTTATATAATCTAATGTTTTAAATAATATCAGAAAAGCTGTTTGTATTATGGATTTACCAACAGAAGAGAAGCAGGAAGACCTCTCATTTCACAACACAAATAAGCAGATTAGATCATATTTGGCTGAACGTGATCTGAACAGAACTGAAACTAATAATGTAACAGTTAAAAATTAAAATAATCTCATAAAAGGTCAGTGTAATCACTTATCTATTGAACTGGTTAGCAGATATTAGCTTCTGTAGTAGCATAATTGTTATACAGAAAGTAACACTCTGTTGAAACATGTTACAATTTAACACAAACTTAAATATTACAGCTGATTTCTCCTTTGATTATTATTTAGACATAGAGAGTGTAAATTATAAATCTAAGTATTTTTAGGTTTCTGTTATAGGAACCTGACATTTTGAGAAGATGGTTAGCTCAGTAGAGACGAGTTTCATCCTCTAACCAGGTATACAGAGAACATTTTCTAAGTGTTGACTGGTAAATTATTATTATTATTATTATTATTATTATTATTATCATCATCATAATTATCATTATCATTATTATTGACTGTAAGAAATAATAAATATACTTTATCATTCATTGAAGTCAATTTTTCAACCAGCTTAAGTCTAAGTTACAGACTGACTTCAGGTCTGGTTTAGATCATTGTTATTTACTGTATAAATTATATATTTTTCTGGTATATATCTGCTGTTTTACATGACTGTTGAATGAAATTAACATATTAATTTATTGTAAAAACATGACAATTTGTGAAATAGACCCATTTCGGCTTGTTGTTTATCTAATGGTTTCTATGGTGATGTGAGTCGTTGCCCTGTTTTGTCTCCAGTTCTGCTCCTCCATGCAGTCACAGAAGCCAGCAGTGGACGGGGTGGGCGGGGCTCAGTCTACGGTTCTTATTCAAGTCTTTGATCCATTCTCATTCCCATTCATTCAGTACTCCACTAGATCTCTCCACAAAGCTAATACAGGTAAATCAATCTACAAAGATTAGTCGGTGCTTTAAATCAGAGGTTCTCAAGCTACGGTCCCTGGACCCCCAGGGGTCCGCGAGAGGTATCTTGGGGGTCCTCAAACATTTTTACTAAAATGTTAATTTGGTTTTTGTTTTTAAAAATGCATGGAGAACAATGAACTAATAAAACATACATAATAAACTTAATAAAAATATATATTCCCATGGCATTTAGGGGTTGAAATGACAAATTATCTTTTAAAACAGCATTTGGTTTATGAGGGGATCCCTGGAATTATTTTTTTTGCCCTTGTAAGGGGTCCCCAGACCCAAGAGGCTTGAGAACCCCTGCTTTAAATCACACTCTTACACTGATGGGGAACACAGAGGCAGTGGGGGTTTAAAAAAAGAAAACATTTGTATGCATCTTTAACACGAAGAATTTCAAAGCACTAAAATCCCATCTGTGTTTCCAAGTTTGTTTGAGATGCAACCGTGTACTTACTGATCTGGCTGRGTGAGCGCATGAATACTTCTGGGGTCCGGTTGGGTAGAGGAGGAAGATTATTGAAGTACTTGTACTTTGACAGCCTGAAGAGCTCATCTTTCAGCAACATATCTGAAAAAAGAATTACATGGACAATTTACTTTATTACTAGTTAGAATTAAAATATATGAAATGTCTAGGTTAATACTGTAAGTCTGAAATTTTCATCCTCAGTGCATGTCC